AGGATTTCATTATTGACAGTCACTCTACTTTTCAGCCTGCTTGGTTTAAACTGTGTCCTACAGAGATACAAAGGGCCTTCTTTCCCTGTAGGAAACGTCTTCCTCATGCTGTGTGATCTGTTCACTGGGCTGGAAAACCTTGTGTTGTATTCACAGATTTGAAAAATGAGGAATGTTGCTGCTTATCTGAATAATTCACACATAGCAATTTGCAGTTGTCTCAATTACCTGAACTCCACAGTCACGCAGTGCTTATTCTGGGTGTGCTGTGTGTGCACGAGCATGTGTTTTGTCTGCCTAATTATTGTCTAGCTCAAGGTCATGTGTAACATAATCTCAAAAGCCCACAAGGTTAACTAGAACAGGAAAACATTTTTTTAGTAGCTGATTGTTAAACTAACATTTTGGCATTGATTTATTCAAACATTTCTAAAATTAGGCTTTCATATAAGCAGAATAAAAGATGTAAGGAATTTGGGCATAATGGTTCCATGGCTAAATCCTCGCCTTGCTTGTGTCAGGATCCCATATAGGCACTGGTCAATGTCCTGGGGCTGCTCCACTTCCCATCCAGCTCTCTGCCTGTGGCCTTGGAAAGCAATAAAGGAAGCTCCAAAGCCTTGGAACCCTGCATCGCATGGAAGACCTGAAAAAAGTTCTTGACTCTTGGCTTCACATCAACTCAGCTCCAGCCATTGCATTTACTTGGGAACTGAACCAGTGCACCAGAGATCTTTCTCTCTCTCTCTCCCTTTCTCTGTATATCTGCCTTTCCAATAAAAAGAAAAAAATGAGAGAGAGAGAGAGACAGAGGGAGAGAGAGAGAGAGAGAGGTGTAAAGGGTTTAACTTATAGTATTAAAAACCAAACCATCCTACAATTAAATTATCCTACTCAGCCCTAATAAAACAAAATGAGGTTTATTTTTTCCCTAGAATTACTAACTTGTCATCAGAAGAAATTTTGAAAGAAGTGGTAACACTATGATTTCTAATCTCCCAAACTCTCAGAAATAAAGAAAAAAACCAAGGTACATTTCCATTCTTCCAGGATTTAAATGGAATGAATTGCTATCTGATCACCCCAAGACATAGATGTTTTCTCCTCACAATTACGAAGCTACACTTTCATAGTTCAAAGTATGTCAACAAGGACTCAGAGGCAGGACCTGTCATTTCTCCTAAAATGGTAGCATCATTGCTATATTACTATTCTGCTTCTTTGGATGTGACTATATGAACACTAAATATGTAGTTGCTCCAAACTGGGTGAGCCTAAATGTTTCCGATGGGCCAATCTGAAAAAATAAGACACACCTATTACACGTTTACTAAGCTTGGGACAGTTTCAAGCAGGGAAATCAACAGAAAACCGTGAACCAAACATTTATAACATATCCACCATATCTGGTTCTTTCCCTCCTGTTTCTAAATACCTTTCTTCATACTTTTAAGATGACAATGTTCAGAAGCTCAAAATGGACACTGATCAGTACAAATGGAGTTTCAGACTTTAGTGTGTTTTATTTAAGTGATATTACGTTTATCCCAAGTTACTTACTGATTTTTATAGAAATTTCAGATGAAATCTCATAAGTATATAGTTTATAAACTCCTCAAAAGCAATCAAAAATGGTTACAAGATCATAGAGCAAATTCAAAATATTTTGAGACTTCAGAGCATCGAACTACTATCGAGCTATGGTTGGAAACCAGTTGTAACTTTTTAAGTCTCAGAAAAAATCACACGAAGTTTCCACTTCAGCAGCTGTTGGAAAATAAAACATGGTGAAGAAAAAAGAGGTTTTGTTCGTTTTGTGTTCTAGCCCTTTTGAGTGTGTGGCCCATCGCTCTTTAGTTTTGGCACGCTCTGGTCAATGCTATAATGGGGGTGCTGGTCTTTTCCTCCATTGCCCCTAGTGTGTGAAAATTTGAGAACTATGAACAACATGCCTAAAACCTTAGTTTGAATGCAGCAAGCCATCACCATGTAAAAAATTCTGCTGCAAGGTTCCCTACTGACATCCATATCTCCGGTCAGGACTATGAATCTAACTTTTAGATTGGTCCCAGTTCCTCAAATGTTGTATGAAAACAGTTTGCTTAAAGACAAGAATTACCTCCATTGAGGAATGAAAAAATCTTTATGGTTAACTGACTTTTTGGCATATACAGAAATGGAATTATATTTTTATGCATTCACAAAAGAGAATAAAACCTGGCTTGAAATACAGTTGATTTGAGGAGATGGAAAGTTTTACAAGATCTTTAGGATGGGAGCTTTTTGTTTTGTTTTAAGGCATACCCAAAATATGGGTAGACTGGGAGAAGTACTAGCAGAGTCCAGACTAAGTTATATCAATATTGTCCTTCATCCAGTTTTAGGGTTCTCTGTTTTGGTCAGTGTTGCTGGGTCCTTTAGAAGTCCAAGCTTCTGAAGCTCTGAATTTTGCTCTAATTCCATTCATGTGAAATGCCTTTCCTTCTCTCTTTCCTCTCCCCCAAGAGGCAGCTTAAAAGAGAGACAGTCACAGTTTAAATATGATCCACAGTGGTCAGAAATTTGGAATCCTTGTCCAAATATAGAACTGTCACCTCCTCGCTTTAGGAGATTTCTGAAAGTGAGGAACACAGTAGCACCTCTGGAACACAATCGCTTGGAAAGATTGCTCTGAAAATGCTTCCAACTCTACAGGCAAAGCAAGCCAGGGCAGAGCCACGGGACTTTCCTTGAGCCAGTGTGCCCCACATAGCCCTGGGAACCAGTCGCCAAGCAAAGGAGAGTTCCATTGAAGAAGGAGGCAGTTCCTTTACACTGTCCCTGTGCCTCCAAGTTTCAAAAATTAAACACATCCATGTTTTGAAAGCTCCCGAGTGGGGTGCACTTAGTTCTGCCATATTGTGGACTGAGGAGGTTCATCTCAGGAGTTAAGTTGACACAGAAAATTGAATTACTCAGGCATTGGAGTGATTTGGAGGGATGTTTTCATTCTTTTTAGATGAATCATGTAGGGGGTAGATAACTGTATATCCAAGAATCTATCTTACGTACTATTAGTGAATAGCTACTAAACTACCTTGAGATGAAAGTTCTCCATGGGAAAGGAGTCAAGAATTGCTGTGTTTTGATCAGAGGCATTGTTGAGGTTTGGAAAAAGAATGGCTGGATTCAGAGAAGAGGCAATTCGTATATAACTCCTGTGTGTATAATGTCACAAGAGTTGGTAAGAAATCCAAACATTGAGTAATTTTGAAATAAAAAGGCTCAGTAAAATTATTTTAAGGTAACATTGGGCCAAATTTGTGTTATGAAAAAGGTCTTGGGTTATGTTCCTCCCAAGAGGAATTTTACTAGAAAATTCAGTTCTCTTGAGAACTTTTTAAAAAATTTAACAGGTTGAAACTTTTCCTAGTATTGGAAGCTATAAATCCATCAAGTGGGATTTTGTTTTGAAAAAAGACTGTCTTCTATACACAGTGTGGTGGTGTAATGGGGGAGTCCTTTCCTCCAAAACTGTTAAAGGCAAACAAGGTTGTTTAACATGAGGGACAGAACCAGGCAAGTGGAATTCTCCACTACAGGAGAAATTTCATTTGCAACAATGTTTTCAACCTGTTTACTATTTCATTTTAAAGACTGAATTTGCTAAGCAGAAATCAGTTAGCTTGTGGCTTTTGTAGCCAATTATCAAATCAAAATTCTGATTTGATAGGAAGAAAAGAGTATGAATGTTTCAATACTATACAGACTTGAGTTTTTGAAAACCAGGTGATGATGAATTGGTAGTTTTACATTGACTTGATAACGAAGAAAGTTGATAAGAATAAATGGGTATATCCAGTACCAAGTTTCTGACCTTTTCCACTTCCAGTCTCTCCTGTATCAAATAAACATCCAGCAATTTGGTGAATTCACTGTTCTCATATAATTTCTCTTCATAATCTTTTCATTTTGGAGTGATAATAATATGATATATACTGCAAAAGTTCATGATTTCCCAAGATGATTAATTCTGTTTTCTGGATGAGAAAGGAGAGAAGCACAGAGATGTTGACACCAAGCATTATTAAATAAACAGTGGGACCCTCCGACCTCCCTGATTCCTGTTGGGAAGTTTTGAAAGAGTTGTATGAAGTTCATTCTGACATCCAGTTATAACAAAGAGCTGTATCAAGAAGCAAATAGGTATTGTGTTATAAAAATATCAAAAGAGTATTGATTTGGGGGTTCATTTCTTTGGAATTTTGCTATGATATCCATATTTAAAAGTATAAAATAATTTTTGTTCATCAAAATATAGAATTGGCAATAACCACTATCCATTTTTTGCATCTAAAGTTTGTTTGACTTGAAAAGTAATAAAATTTTTAACCTTCTACCTACATTTCTTTCACCTTCTGCAACAGGTTTTTAAAGTCAAAAGTTTGTGTATGCCTTGTACCTTTCCTTACAAACTGAAAACACTTACTGAATCCATAGTAACATTAGCTGAACACATATTCTGGGATTGAGCTTACTATGATAAAACAACTCTTCAGGTAGAACACTGAACTCAAACTGAACCAGTCCAAGAATCCACGTTTCAATGCTATTGATTCTCAGCATTTTTGGCTAACGCTTTAACCTAATGCTCAGAGATAATCAACATATATGATGTAAATGGCATAAAAACTAAAAACAAATTGTATTTTTCCTCAAACAGAACTTCCAGATATTACATGTACACATATCCCAGGCCTAGGGTGAGGTTAGTGGGTTTAGGGGTGATATATAGCAATGACGATGTCAGAGTGAAAGAGGCCACAGTGAGAGGAAACTGCGAACGAAACAGGTCACATTTGAACTCAGAGTGCCCATGAAGATGGGACCCAGGGTGACTCAGTGTGTTGTACTTGGAAACGTCCCAATGCACATGGAAGCTGATGCTAAAGGTTGCAAAGGAATAGGACACAAGAAGTAAGGGCCCGAGAAAGTGTTATATATGCTTGCATGGGTTATACATTTCTTGCCATGGCCAGTTAGTCCACAGCTGCTTCCAATATGCAAAATTATTCATAAACATCACCAAGCTACAGATTCAATAAGGCGCGAACAAGAATATCACTTTAAAATTCAATTAATGTGTGAGTGTGGGGGTGTAAAATACGTAATAGAAGTATTTGCTAGACACATCCTGTGCTGTGGGAAGGTCATGTATGACTTAAACTGAGCAGTGCCCTTCCTTGGTACTTCTGGTTGTTCACTACTGATCAGGGGGTGATCGAAGGAAAAGGGTGTGAGCCAAGTGCTTTTCACTCATCACTAAGGGCAGCACTTAGAGATACAGGTACCCAACCCAGTAGACCAGGTTAAACAGTAGGAACGACGTGGGGAAAAAGACCCGCGAGTATGAGTCCAGCTCCAAAATGTCTATGTGAATACGTCCTTTTCTCCAGGAGCCTGATTTACATTCTTCATAGCAGCAGAAGAAGCTCTGACAGTCTTTTCCATCCAAGCACTCATAAGCACAGGTATCTTCAAATTCTTGCCAGTACACAGAATTGTTTAAAGTGATCATTGTAGGTGGTGGTGGTGGCCTCATGTCGAGGAGAGAGTAGTTCTGTAGGCAACGAGAAAAACATAACAGCCATCAGGAAATGCAACAGAGACAGCCTGAAGTGTATCAGACAAAAAGAACAAATTACACCTGACTATTAGATAAAAAGCATGGACATGCCCACCCCTCAAACTCCCCAGTCAATCCTTTCAGATCAAAGCAAGCCTAAGGCAAGGAAATGCAGTTTCCAAACTTCTGTGTTTCCAGATTACTGTTGAGGTTGGTAGAGCATATTTTGAAACATAAATCAACTATTTCAAGTCCCTTTTCTACTTTCTTTTTGTTGATGTGCAGTAAATATGTACATATTTTATATTTTTAAAGAAACCAGATTTAATGAATTTCATAGGTACAGCTCTTAGAAGATAATCATAATTCCTTCCATTTTTTCTCTCCTTCAACCTCTTTCCTTTTTTTTCCTATTTTTTGCAAAGACATAACTTCAGTATATTGTATAATCACAGGCTTAATTCACCACTAACCAAAAGTATTCAACAAGTAGAAAGTAGCAACAGCACAATTCCAAAGAATAAAAACAAGGTTTATAAGCAACGATTATGACACAAGATATCTGCTGCATTCATATTTACTTTGTATCCTATATTAGTGGCCACCTATCAGAGAGAGCATACGATATTTGTTTTTTCAGACTGGCTTATTTCACTAAGTATCCTGGTTTCTATTCACATTCATTTTGTTGGCAAAGACAGGATTTCATTATTTTTATGACTGAGGAGTGTTCCCCATTGTCTGTGTGCAGGCATCAGCTGATAGTCTCTGTTGATTCCATATGGAAGTATGTGTGAATACCGAAAAGCAAAGTTGGAGAATGTTGGAAGCATCTTCTTATTCCGTGAAATTTGTAAAAATTGATCAGCTGCACACTGCTTGCCACCTCAAACAAAGCTGGTGGGAGCACCATGGTTCCTACTTTCTAAATTCACCTCTTAACATAGAAGTCAAGGTGGGAAAGAGAGAGGAGAATAAATGAGAGGGACACGTTCTAACCTTGAAAAGCAGAGTCCGAGAACCCTGTTTGCTCCACTGACCGTGGCCAGGATCGTATAAAGAGCTGCGAATTGTGTATTGTAGTGAATTCTTTGAAGGGGATACAATTATAGAATTGTATTCGACTGAATAGACAAAAGGCACTAAGAACACGCTTTCCTATTTGCTTTTATGAGTATCGTGTGAGGCTTAACAGCAAAGTCATGGCAGTGGAAGCCCTGGGGTGTGATGTCAAATGGGGAGGAGGACAGAGAAGCCTATTTACAGCTGGGTGGCTGGCCCCTTTGCCATGAGCAACCCAGGGCTTGCAATGAGGTCATTCAGAAAGTCTCATGTTTTTATTAAAAACTATTATTACAAGCGGACATGGTATACTCCTCTGCATTCCCCTTTTGATCTTCTTCAATGGGGGCAGTGGAGTCACAACCCCGGGAGAAAAGTTTGCAGTGTGGAACACTTTGAGCCCTTTCTTTCACATGTTTGTGTATCCTTCTAAGTGGAAGCACCTGTCTTTGTGGGAGGGCAGACCTGAAGCACTGAGCCCTGGATCGAGTGATCACTGAGCATCCATCTCTACTCACATGTCTGTGTTCAGTCATCTCTGCCACAGGTTAACACATCACTGTGCACCTGTCTACCTTCCTCCACTAGTCTACTGGATAGCCAGGAGTGAAGCTCTTGCTGTTGCTGCAACTCTAGTTTGGACACATATCATTTAGGCTAATGGTTCTTAGATTTGCAGGTATTTAATACATTAAATATCACAGGCATTTGCTGAACTATAGCAGATCCCTGAGTCTGACTTCCCTGCATTTGAGAAACGTGCATCTTCCTGATAGAATCAAGTTGGAAAAATCTGCCTTTAGTAAGTAACATTTGCATTAAAGGTTTTCCCACACGTATACTTTGATAATGTTTAGACAGATGTTTACCCTCTCGTTTCCTCACATTTGTGAATGCTTATGCCTTACCGTGTGGATTGGACTGCTTGATTTCAAGGCATGTAGAACAGAGCCAGACGTGACAAGTCACGACAAACCCAGAGGGAGAGGCTAATTCAGAGTGGCCACAGAAAGCTCAGCAGGTATGGAGACCGGCTCACCAGAGAGATAAGGGGTGGTGGCAGGGGACTTTGAGAGGCCACAGGCAAACAAGCAACAAGATTCCTGGGGACAAGAGAAATCCCTCCCCAATTCTTTCTTTACAGAACCAAAATACAACCAAGGTAACTGAAACACAGAGACTCATTATTATATTTATGAGAGCTCTTTTTACATGTTTTGATAGCTCACTGGAAATGAAACAAATTCCATTTTACAAGATCAAAATAAAATTTATTATACAGCAAAGTAGCTGTAGTTCATCATGATAGTCAGGTATTATATTCTTGGAAAATGCAGATGGAGTGAATGCTCTATGTAATCGCCACAGAAATGCTAACTATGTGAGGTCATGCCAGACTTAATCATTCCACAATTTATATGCACTTCACAATACCATTGTAATATTAAATATACAATGTAATCTGTCAATTACAACAGAATTCTTAATGCTATAATTTACATTGCATATGTAGATTTTTAGGTAGACCCACTTCTTCTTTCTCATGAAAATGTCATCAATAATCAAGGCAGAAATTTTAACTAATAATTCCCCAAAGTGGACCTTAGCCCCAGTGAGACCCTGATGGACTCGTCCTTTGTCTGGGTACAGAATGCAACTCCACAACCTCTCTGAAGCACCAGGTTTCCTGGGCCAGGAGCCAGAGGCACAAAGTGACAGGCCAGGAGCCAGAGGCACAAAGTGAGCCATCTTCCCCCAACCACACACGCAACCTTTCATGAGCCTGACCCCTGTATACTTCATTTCTGCTTTTTCTGGTTGGTCATGGTGTCCCTGAACAAGCACTGAGAGTGGAAATGCTGGCAATACCCTGTAATAGTTGGTAAACTTCCTGTTTTACCGGCTGTCGTGTGAATTCTTGCTGCTGCTCTCGAATGGTGTCTCACACCTGCTTGGCACCATTTCAGTTTGTGAACTGTTTTTCTTCCTATTTCCTTTGACTTCATTACACTTCTTATTTAGAAAAAATTCCACTACTTTTATGGGAATTTCTTTTTTCTCTAAGTGGATGGATTTTACTCCCTTTGTTGACAGTATCATTTGTATACAAAGATGTCGGTGTCTGCCTCAGCTCTAGCCCCTGCTGTGTGTGACATGGGGTTCTTGGGGTTTATTCCTGCTGCTCCTGACTTGAATTTGCCAAGAACCAATCAGATCTTTCTGGAAGCCTTGGTTGGTGAAATCTATATTTTCAGTGTAGCTTTCCATTGCTATAGAAGCGGCTTCTCTACTAACCTGTTAGAACTATCATGATGTGCAAGTAGAAAAAACTATTATGTCTCTTATGAAAATAGATTAAAATACACATACACACAAAAGATAAAGATTGTCCTCAGTAAACTACCTAGGATCTATTTTAAAATTCTAATACAATTTAAAAGACATTCAGATGCAGCTCATAAAACTAGGCTTGTAAACAAAAACAAAAATACTAAATTTTCTCAGAAACAGGAGGCTGTTTTCTCCTTGCCTATGAAGCTGACAGCAGGGACAGTTCTGACATGTAGGTGTCTGGAACTGTTAATAGAGCTCCTGGAATGCCAATTGAGAAAGGCTGCAACCCCTTTTCCCCACCATTCTGCTTCTGGGTATCCAGTATCTAAGTAACTAGTCACAGCTGCATACAAATTAGCAGATATAACATTATACATGAAAATGGGTATGCATACTTGGCTTAGTACCCAGTCGTAATTGTCCATGTTTGAATCCAACGTGTGTGCTACAAAGATCTCAGAAAATGGCATTATTAAACAGTAATGTAAACCATATTTTTAAGTTTCAAGGAGGTTGTATAAGAAATGCATGGATCATAACCTAGTTTTTGTAAAATGTATGAATAGATACTAATTGAATGCCTAGGAAAAAGTCAGAAATTTTGTCATGATACTAACCTCTCGGTATAAGGATTATGATTTTCTCTTGTTTGTGGCCAATGTTCTAGGTTGAATTTTTAAGTCACAGCTGAGATATTATTTATCTATTCATTTATTTAAGAAAACATTTGGACTTGTGGCAAGAAGGACAGAGAGCTCCCATTCGCTGATTCACTCTGCATGTAGCCAGTGTGGTTGGAACTAAGCAAGGATGAAGACAGTAGCCTGGAACTCAATCCAGGTCTCCCACATGGATGGCAGCAAGCCAACCACCTGAATTACTACCATTTTTTGTCACCTAGAGTGTGAGTTAGCAGGAACTTGGAACCAGGAACTGAAAGCCTAGAATTGAAACTCTATTCTCTGATATGGGATATGAATATCCTAAGTGGCATCTGAATCATGCATGCATTAGTAAAAAGAAATTGTTTTTTTATACACAGCTTAGCTTAGTAAACATTCTCCAAAATTTTGGCACCTGTAATGCTATACTTACCGAAGGAGCTTGTAGGCTTATTCGCTCATGTATCCATCGTGAGGAATCTGGATGCAATAACTGCAAGAAAAGACAGCAGATCTTTAGAAAAGTCCTGTAGAAATCCATATTCAGGGGAGTATTGAAGGTCTGACTACCAGTCTCTGTAATGATGCTGGAGAGATTTCAATCATAGCTGCAGAATCTCCTGTTTTTCTTTATTTTTCTTTAAGGTTTGCTTATTTGAAAGGCAGTTATACACAAAGACAGAAACAGAGCTGAACTACAGAAAGAGAGAGAGAGAGAATTTTCAATCCACTGGCTCACTCCCCAAATGGCTGTAATGGCCAGAGTTGAATCAAGCCAAATCCAGGAGACCAGATATCTATCCATGTCTCCAACATGAGTGGCAGGCTCCCGATAACTTGGATCATCTTCTATTTTCTTCCCAGGCATGTTAACTGGGAACTGGAATGAAAATAGGGAAAGGTGGAGCTGGAAAAAGCTGGCAACACTAGATGCTGTCATCCAGAGTGCTGGTGGAACCTACTGAGTCACAATGCCAACTCCATCCAATCTTTTCAAGTCTTGTTGTTTATTATTTTTATCGTGTTTCATGTATTCCAAAGGAGTATAATCGCATCTGAGTACGCATTTACCCCAAACTATGCTCCCACTCCTTCCCAGGAAACCTTTGTTACTGCCACTCACCGATGTTTTCTTTTTCGCTGCACTTGGTTTCCTACAGCTTGAATAGTAGTTGAGGGTGGCATACTCCATCAGGGCAGCAAAGACGAACAAGAAGCACACAGTCACAAAGAGGTCCATGGCGGTCACATAGGAGACCCTTGGGAGGGAATTCCTTGCTATGGTGCTGAGGGTAGTCATTGTTAGCACGGTGGTGATGCCTGCACAGGGGACAGCCGTCAGGTTGTAAGAGGAGGGACCATGGAACAATACAAGGACAGACAATGCAGAGTCCTCCACTCTAGCAAGGCTGTTTCACTTTGATGTGAATCCTTCTTGCAATTGCATACTTAGTGTAATGCCATTTCAATGTCTATATGATTTAGTTAGCAACATTCTGATAAAATTCCTTGTGTGCGTCTTCACAATACTATTAAAATATCTAAATCAAGTTGACACCTTTTAATTTATTCAGTCCCATCTCATGTAACATTTTGATATTTCAGCCACTAATGGACCATGTATATCATGGTCTTTTGCATACAAAACTGTCAATCAAATAATTTCTCAGAAAATGCTCCTGTCATTTACAGATGAGTAACTGTAATTGTTACCAGTTGACATTTTGTCATATTTTTTTTTTCAAAAAATGAGGATACAATTCCAAGTTGTAACACATCTTTCATCTTTAAACAAATCCTTTGTTTCTCATGTTTTCTGCCCTGTTAAGTGTGTAAAATCTGACATTCTTCAAAAACACTGTTCTAATACTTTCTGAACTCCCTTCCCTGACAACACTTCAAGGAGACTGGGTGATATGAACAAACACACTAATCTGTCCTTCCTACTGTGAGTCAGTTCTTTGGCATTGTCAATGTGAATTGCACATGTCTTTATGTGTTTCTCTCCATGAATAGATTGTGTGATTTTTGTCGAGAGCAAAATTGTATCTTGTTCATCTCTGCCTGTCAACAGAATGTCTAAAACATCCCAGGCATTTCAATGGATGCTCGGCATCGAATGAGCAAATTATTTGATGATGCTCAGCATTGGTTTGACTTTTTACTTGCACGGATCAACACTGGTATAATCCCTAATGGTGAAAAGTGTTTAGAAAAGAGACATACAAATGACGGCTATTTTAAAGGGAGAAAACAAAGGAGCGAAAAGAATGGAACATGAAAAAAGCAAATGAAGAGAAACGATCCAATAACAACAATTTCTACTGATTCTTCCCGGATGAACGCCCTGGAGGACCAGGAATCTGTAGAACCTTTGGATATGGAAGGTTTGTGTCAGAGATCCTGTGATCTCAGGACTCTGGAGGTTAAGACGGCAGCACCCTGCTGGTCAGAGTAGTTAGGGCTTACTGATGAACATTCCTTCCCACCTCTGTTGTCTAGGCTTGGACTCCAAGTGTTTAAGGCAGTTTTTCCGTATCTAGTCAGAGAATGAGTCCAGCGGGACCATTTGGGCAGGTGTCAAAGATACTGATGTCAAAGTCCAGTCCCTTAGCCTTGCTCTGGGGCGTCGCAGCGTTGGTCATGAGGTTTCTGTCACCTTCTTGGGGCTTGGTTCTTTAATCAGTGTAAAATACAATGCCAAGCTCTCTCCTCATTGTAAGTTGTCAATTTGTGATAGTTCTAGTTCTAGATCTAGTTTCTGCTATGCAAATTAGAAAAGTCTACACTGATGTCAGCTACAGTTTTACAGAAAAAAAGATTTTGTAATAAATATCTAATGGGACTTAAAAAAACAAAAAAAAATTCAGAATCTCAAGTTCTATTTCAGTGTAGTTGTATCTGTAATATTTATTGATATTTATTGATTTTCCTTCATTTCTTGTTATACATTACTTGCCTGTATAGCAAGTTTCCAAAAAGTTCATGGAAGTTGTAATTTTGAAAAAAAAAATATTCTGGATTTTAAAAACATGTACACAAAACCAAACCTATCATGCTATTTCATTTTTTAGAAACTTTTGAGGTAATCGTGCACTAATCTTCATGAATTAAAAAAAAGCACATTTGAACATAAGAAACAGAAGACAAATTCTAAGCATAAGAAAAGCTAGTATGAAAATATGCTGCACAATTTAAAAATCACTGACATACTGTGTTTTATCAAAATGACATTGGGGGCCAGAGGAAAATTTTGCAAGACAGTTTTAGAGTACATACTCCAACTGAAAGTGTTGGGCGTTCAGTTCATCTTATTTCAGTGTGGAGGGTGACAACTAGAGTGTGAAGGAAGAGGAAGAGAGACAGAGCGAGTTAAGATGCTGGGTACCAGGACACAGAGTAAAAAATGTTACCGAGTGCAACAGTAGTGTAGCATGGCCATAGATCACAGGTTGCTGCTATGTTTTATTAATTTCTACAAAAGAGGAAGCTCCAAATACAAAGCAAAGATAATTGGATCTGTACACATTATATTCAATTACTGAAATATCACAGTGTACCCCATAAACAATTATTATTTGTTCATCAAAAAGCTTATGGAACATTTAGGGAGTTGTAAATAACTGCTCTGATGTTACCAGCACATGCTGTGCTTATGTACATATTTTGCATTATAACACTCTAACCTACAAATATGTATAATTAAAATTTGAAAACATAATGATTCTGGTTTGCTGCCAAGGTCACCACAACAAATCAGAATTTTTTTTTTCACTGAGACACAATCTCATTAGTATTTTTTAAGCTTACACTTTATTTATTTGAAAGGCAGGGTGATAAAGGACTGGGAACAGACACACAGAGGAAGAGATCTTTCATCTATTGGTTCGCTCTTCAAATGGCCATATCAGAAAGCTAGGAGTCTCTGGTAGGACAATCAGAATCCAGGATTCCATGGAGGTTTTCCACATAGGTGGGAGGGCCCAGTTATTTGGTCCAGTATATAGTGTTTTCCCAGGTGCATTAGCAAGAATTTAGTTCAGAAACACAGCAACTGTGACTTGAACCAGCACTCCAACACCGGATGCCAGTATAACAAGCTATGTCTTAAATCCCTGTTCCACAATGCTGGGGCCTCAAAACTGCCAATAACGGGTCTTCCATCCCAAAAGATGTGTGACAATTTCTGTTTCCTTGCCGTATTCTGGGGTTGGCGGGTTTCTGGATGTAGCGATATTTTTGTAACACCAGCTCGAAAGCTTAGATTCAAGAAATACATGTTATTGACTCTGAATCTCTAACTCCATTTTAATTTCAGCAGCACCCATGGAATTCCATTGTCAGAAAAAACTTGGATATTTCTAGTGTGGTCCAAGCAGCCCTAAAATTAGATCAACATCTTTGCAAAGTTTCTGGTTAAATGTACCCTAAGCATACGCCTGTGTGACAATTACACACAATTTTCAAAGAGGATTTTTTTATAACTTACCTAATGCTGTCCTTGCTGGTGTAGCATCTTTTTTAATCCAAAATGACACCCAGGATAAAACCACAGTCAGTATACAGGGAATGTATGTTTGAATCGTGAAGTAGCCCATTCTTCTACTTAATTCAAAATATATGGTCATGACAACGTAATCACCTGCAATAAAATGTTATCAAAATGAAGGCCACTTTCGTGAGCTATGAATAGTTCTGTGAAATAATTTATAATTTATTTTGTGAAGTGAATGGCTTGTATACAAATGTACTACTAACAATAACATCAAACCAGGATGAAATCAAAATGCTGGTGCTCCTAAACTGAATTTTTATAGCATCCATGACTGTGTAAGGCATTTTACTTGCAAAGCACACAAAAGCCATTTTAATTGACAGAGGAGACAGCTGTGAATATCTAGTCTACAACAGGCTATAAATTCAGGAGATATCATTGAGTCCTTATGTACATTGATTTATGAAAAAAAAAAGTAGCTCAACTGACCAATCCTCCCCCTACAAGCACCAGCATCCAACAAGTGCGTTAATGTGTGCCCCAGCTGCTCCGCTTCCCATCCAGCTCCTTGCTTATAGCCTGGAAAAGCAATGGAGGATGGCCCAAGGCCTTGGGCTGCTGCACCCACATTGGAGACCTGAAAGAAGCTCCTGGCTCCTGGCTTCAGATCAGTTTAGTTCTGGCTGTTGCAGTCATCTGGAGACTGAAACAGCAGAAGGAAGATCTTTCTTCGTCTTTCCTTCTCTCTGTAAATCTGTGTTTCCATTAAAAAATAATTAAATCTTAAAAAAGAAAATAATGGGTATCAGGAAAACTCAACTTTCAAAAATAAATGTAGGTTCATTTTCTGATTTTTTGGTTATAACAGAGCTGTCCTATCATACATAAATTTGTACAAACATTTATATTTTTATTTTGCTATGCCCATGAATTTCAATTCTGTTGCTTTATTTCATATTTTTATAATTGCCTTATACTGTAATGACTCCAGCATACAGGCCAGAGCAGCCCAGAAATAAAGAGAAGAAATCAGTTCATCACGTTCTTCTCCCTCCTACTAGAGCTAAGCCAAGTCACCAAGTCACTGGAGGTGATGCAGAGGTTATGAAAAATGTCACACTGTTCCCTGGGGCTCAAAGGGGGAGGCGCATGCTTAATAAGGCACACATTTCATTTTAAGTTCGTCTTGACTCACTGCTTTTCCAGACAGCCGCCTGCCAAGATTGTGTCTCTTCTTTTACTGCCCTTCTGACTTTTCTGAATCAGGAACTGAACGGTTAGGTCTAATGCCTGCTCACCTGAAGCAACTTTCTAAAATAGAAACCATTTTGTATTCTTCACCAATGTCTTGCTTCCTAATAGTTGTGACACTCTCAGTATAGTAATCCCATTCTACATTAAACACTCCCTATCCCGTAAACTCAACACTATTGGCATCTGGTTTACCCAGGTTCTCAGCTTTGTCTGAGCCCTTGCTCCTCGGCCGCTGTATCTTGTCCCTTCTAATTACAATGCTTCTCTTTCCCTTCTATTTGCATCTAAGTAGCTCCCATTATCATTTCTCTGAATTTCAACTTAGACATCACTCAGTTTTAGGGGAATTCTTCTCTGACCCCTTCTCAATAATTTTCATGAATTCATTTCTACTATTGATAAAAACAATATCTGTCTTCAAGCAAATAATCCAGGTTGGGTTATAGAATGTATTTCTCTTATTCATAGCATTGGTTAATGATAGCAATCAATTAGTATCTGCTGAATGAAAACATCATCAGACTCACAAATTTTTGATAAGACCGAAAAGGAGGTTAACCTGAACACACATGAAAGCTGCAATTGCAAATGTTAGACATAGTTTGGTATACTGCTCATTTCTATTGTGGCAACTCTCAGTATTGCTAATATAAACACCAATTTTTAGACCATTTTTCAAGACACATTTAAGATTTCCATTGAATTAGCAAATATTTCAGTATAGAAGCAAGTACTTGGAGCAAGAAAAGAACCCCAAAATGGTTTAAATATTATGAATGCACAATTATTCATATTAAATAATATGAATACACAATTTTCCTTGGACAGGTTGCTGAACTTTGTGAGATTTATTTTAAAAAAAACCTGCTAAATTTTTAGATGTAACTGTAATATAGAAACAGACAAAAAAGGAAAAATACACATAATACACAGGCCTGCTTAAGATAGCCTGAAAGGAATATCCACAGAATGGAATAATGCTTGCAGTTACTACCATTATAAATTCCTGAGTAAGAAAATCAATGAATCAAGAGCAGACATGCACATTGTTTTGTTTTGGTCAACTCTTTGTTTCCCACTCTACCTTAGGATCAGTGGAACTCCTACAGCTGCACAGCATACTCCTTTCCCTAACTCTGAGGTCTGCATCGCATCCCAGTGCCAGCAGCCTTCCCAGGCTCTGAGTGCCCTGATGGTGGTTCCACCTTATCTAGAAGTGATGTCTTGCAGGGAAGGCAGCTACGGCAGCCAGACCACAGCGTCAGGTGCAAGGATGCAAGCATGCAAAACATTCTTGGTGATCAAGAACAGGATGCAGGATGGCTTAAAGATGGTGCCTCTGTACATTCAGGGGAATTCTCAAGCTGAAACACATCTTTTGTGTCTCAAATTCTTATTTTACTGGTATTATTAGACAGCAGCCCATCCTCAGCAGTTGCATTTGCCCCAGGTTGGAAGTGTAAAGAATTATAAGAGGCTTTTTGAGACATTATACTGGAATGAATTCATTCACTCATTTCTTTTACAAATAGTGTTCCATACCTGGTAATTCATGCAGGGAGAGAAGGACCTACCATTGGCTCTCTAGGAATTCAATTTCACATTTTGAGAGCTCCTGAAAGGGCTGATTCCAGATAGTTCAGTGTCATAGAAAGCCTATGATAATGGACACTGGGATTAGCTAGGGTGTAGTGACTGCTTCTCTTTGAACATACGATCTTCAACTAAGACAGATTTGTGCAAGAAAATGACAGCTCCTAGAGCAAGCCTTGAAGGAGGAGGATTTTCCAGGAAATAAATCTTGACTTACAGAGGAAAGACAGTGTAATGGGTTCTCTGGTTTAGAAGCATCGCAGGAGTAAGTACACACTTTTCCTGTTATATTTTTTTAAAAAAAATCTGTATTGACTATATTTACATACTTATTAAAGAAAATTATTCTGTACTCACAGTGCATATAATTACTTTCTAAAAACCAAAGAATATTGTTCATTTAACTAACTTGCTATTCATTTTGCTAAACTTCCTATTTGTAAAAATATCACCTTAGTGAATCAGTAGATTATAAATTGCTGTTGAAAAATAAAGGTGATAGAGATTTTTTTTTCTATCTAAAAATGCTAACTAGCTGCTGGATAATATTATTTGGGTTATGCTCACAAAGTAACAGACTTACAGACAAATCTTTTCTTGTGATTATGTCTTTTTAATTGTTTTTTTTACATTTTACTATGATTATTATCATTTTATGATACAGTTCAATAGGCTCCTGGTATTTCCCGTATCCCCTCCTCAATTCCCTCCCTGCCTAGTTTATCTATATCATTACTATAGTTCTTTATACAAGTCGTATGTCCATCATTGTGGCATGGACAATGGCAGAGAGTCCAGAATCCTATTGTCAAGATATAGTAAACAGTTTCATTGTAAGTCCATCTTTGTCTGGAAGTAGATGCATTGTATTCTCACATCTGCATGTTAGTCTCCATTTCACAGCTACTGTACATCCCCTTAAATGAAAAGTCCTGATACAAAAGCAACAATAGAAAGAAAAATAGAAATTTACAATGCCATGAAGTTAAATAACATGTCACTAGATATGACAGTCTCCATTACACAGCTACTATACATCCCTAAGAGGAAGAGCCATAACTGACATATAAAGGAATGTCAATTAAACTCACAGGAGATCTCTCACAGGAAACTATACAGGCAAGAAGAGAATGGAGTGACATATTCCAGAGTATAAAAAACAAAAATTGTCAGCCTAGGATAACATATCCAGCAATGCTTTCTTTTGTCTTTGAAAATGAAATAAAATTCTTCCACAGTAAAGAAAAGTTAAAAGAATTTGCCTCTTCCAAACCCGCCCTACAAATGATACTTCAAGATGTTCTCTTGACAGAGAAGAGGAATAGCACCTACCTAAACCAAAGGCAAACGGGAAGAACATCCCAGTAAAATGACAACAGAAGATTAAACCAATGAACAATCCATTCCTAAAATGACAGGACCAAAGTACCACCCATACATATTAACTCTAAATGTAAATGGCTTAAGTTCAATCAAATGTCATAGAGTAGCAGACTGGATTAAAAAACAAAACTCATTTATTTGTTGTCTAGAAAAGACACACTTCACCAACAAAAATCAGTGGAAACTATATTGCAGGCAAATCTAAAGTGTTAATATTCGAGGTTTGGACTTCAAAACTGCCCAATAAATATTATCTTATGATTTAAAAGGGTAATCTTGTTTTCCAGAAATATCAGTGTTCATAGAACATTAAGAAAAGAAGAAGCATTTATAGAATTCCCAATATATCTTTTTTAGATTTATTTTTTATTTTTATTGGAAAGGCAGATATATAGAGAGCAGGAGTGACAGAGAGGAAGATCTTTCATTCACCAATTCACTCCCCAAGTGGCTGCAATGGCCAGAGCTGAGCCAATCCAAAGCCAGGAGCCTAGAGACTCTTCCAGGTCTCCCACACAAGTGCAGGGTCCCAAGGCTTTGGGCTATCCTTGGCTGCTTTCCCAGGCCACAAGCAGAAAGCCTGATGGGAAGAGGGGCTGCCGGGATTAGAATCGGTGTCCACATGGGATTTCGGTGCATGCAAGGCAAGGACTTTAGCCACTAGGCCACTGCACCAGGCCCCTCCCAATGTATTTTTGATGTGTAAATTCTAGTAGTGGTTCCACGTGAATTTCCCATCACATCCTAGTGATGATATTGGAAGTGAATAGATGTATTTCACGACTCCTCCAGGTTCTAGCCACAGCTTCCATAATCTAGCTTTGTTCCAGAGATCACTTCAGAAACCATTTCATTTACTTCATGCTTTGGGCAGCCTCATTTGTTTGTTTTATCTCAGGCAACAAAGTGATTTTCTG